CAACAACAACAACAGACATCATCAACAACAACATCGACAACATCAACAACAACAACAGACATCATCAACAACATCAACAACAGACATCAGTGAGAAAAGGACCAGATGTTTGTCCCACAGTGACTGGAGGCCGACGCTGCAGCTGTGCAGGTTGTCAGTTCTAGTCCCACTGCCACACAGTACTGCAGTCACACCAACAGACCAAACCTTTCAAACTCCCTGCAGTACTTCTACAGACCCCTAGGGGTCGTAAAGAAGCCCTGTCCCTTTAGTTGAGAAGTAAAAACAGATGAATCTGAATTGACAGGTTGAGGTGCAGCGGAGGGGTCGACACTGAGTTGACCTTTGACCTGGGGTCATCGGCCACTCTCACTGTACAACAGGTGTTTTCCAACAGTTTATATCGTCGACCCCAACGACCTCTTAACATCAGGAATTCTTCAAATACAGTGTGTTGCCCCCCCCCCCGCTCTCTGACCCTTTGAAAATACACTTTTTATTGCCCCACAGCTCGGCCGGGCAGGAAACCCGACCCCACGTGAACTTCCATGGACTTTACTAATATAAATGTTGCCACACATACCCCACAAGTCACACAGCTGGGGCGGGGGTCCTAACGAGGGCGACCGGGCGAGGCTGCTGACAGCTTGACGGATGGAGTCGATGTAAGGAAAAGATGGAGAGGAGCCAACGGGGGGGGGGGTATCAGAGGGTTAGGGCAGAAAAGGAGAGGAGGAGTCAAGTGTGGAGGAGACAGGAAGCAGCAGAGGACAGTAAACATGCCTGACACTAAACACATGATAATCTTCAACCTGTTTATTAGCTGGATGGCGTTCCAGCGCGGCGAGCTCGCCGTGTCTCCGCCTCCTCCTCGCTCTCACACACTCTTCACGTGTTAACGTGTTTCCAACACATAGAAAACCAACACTGAGAGAATGTTGTCAGTCTGACTCTGGGTTAGGGTTACAGACCACCTCCTCAGTACAGACCACCTCCTCAGTACAGACCCCCAGCCTCCTGACGTGGTCTCCTTCTCCACAGATGTGTCTGACTCCTCCCCTTCCCCCCTGCCCCCCCCCCGCTGCGTGGCGTCACATGACCCTCCTCTCCTCGCTGCTTCCTGGAGGTGGTCGTCCAGCCGGGGCTGATGGGACATTAGATGTTTGAAAGAGAACAAACATGTGGGTCGCTGACCCCGCTGAGGACGACAGAAGAACCCTCCAGAGGAGGAAGGTCTGTGAGGATGAGGAGGTGAAGATCAGTATCCAGTGAGAAGGTCACAGATGGAGGACGGTGGCTCAGACTGAGGGGCGGGGGTCTCCAGGAGCCAGGACCGTCTGACTCCACCAGAGCTGAGGTGATGAAGTGTGGGTGGAAATACATGGAGCTGGGCTCTATTTTTAACTCCATCTGGAGTGGTCCTTAGCTGGGGTCAGGACAGATCCCACTGACCCCCCCTCT